GGATTTAGGGAGTTTAGGGTTTAGGATTGTAGCAGTTTTAGGTTGGGGTTTAGGGAGTTTGGGAATTAGGATTTTAGCAGGTTTGGGTTGGGGTTTAGGGAGATTAGGGTTTAGGGTTTTTGCAGTTTAGGCCTGGGGTTTAGGGAGATTAGGGTTTAGGGTTTTCGCAGTTTGGGCTCGGGGTCCGGGGTTTAGATTTTTAGGGCTGCGGGGTTGTCGGAAGAACATCACACGTCCTTGAAAAGCACAGCACAACTGCTCAGAGCGACGCTGATGACAAACATTGGCGCAAAAGGAAGACGAACCGAAGACGAGAGGGGTAGCCGTAGCAAGAGGAGAAGAATGAGAAGGTGGCCCTAATTGGCTTTTAGGGTGTTTAGGGGTTTAGGGTTTGGGGTTAGGGAGTCTGATCAAATTGAAGTCCTAGTTTGTTCGGGCGAAACAGAAACAGAAAGGTCCCAGCGGCCATCCCGGGAGAACATCCGCGTAGGAAAGGTATGCCACGAGTGTGGCGACAAGTGTACCGCCCACACAAGCAGCGCGTCCATTCTTCAGCATGAGGAGCAGCCACACCTAAACCCTAAACCCGAAACCCTTACACCCTAAAGCCTAAACCCTAGGAGCTGTTTCATAAAGCCTCTGCCCCACGGTTTTGTGTGCCAACACCCAGATCGGAGGAATGCTTGAAGGGAAAACCCTGCATTCCTATGCTCGAACCTCTAAACCCTACTAGGGTTTTGGGGCTTTGAGGCTTTGGGGGTTTAGGGCTTTAGGGTTTTAGGGCTTTAGGGAGGGTTGACGATCATGCGAAACCAAACGTCGCCTTGAGGAACACAATGCTGTGCCAGCTATGCGACCAGAACTCATCGATGAAGTCCACCTGCATACCCAGACCCACTCCCGCAAGGCACGGCTGGTCATAATGTGGTGCCTTCTCTATGCGGTGATCACATTAGTATTAGGGGTGTTGTAAAGTTATCAATCCCGGCAGCCCGAAACCCTACAACGTAGTGGCCTCTGGCAGTGTTGAGCCCTGCAGTAACCTTATGTACAAGAAATTGGAGCCGCAGGCAGCTCTTTCCACCACTCACAGCCATCACCACACCGGCTTCCACAACCCCCAAAGAAAGGCCCAAGAACCATAAGCCCTAAACCTGTTTGGCTTTACCCATAGGCCCGTAAGTCGTTCCTTTGATGGTGTATATTTAGGAATCCTATAAGGTAATCCCAAAAAGGAACTACTTAGGGGCCTATGGTTAGTGTCTTCTTTCAAAACCCTAAGCCCTAAACCCAAACCCTAACCCTAAACCCTAAACCCCTAAACTCTAAACCCTGAACCTGTTTGGCTTCAGGGTCTTCTTTCAAAAGCCTGTTCCCATTGAAAGCAGAACGAACCCGGGCTTCCTGGAGTGTCTCTGCATTGCTTGGGGGTTCTACGGTTTAGGGCTGTAGGGTTGTAGGGTTTAGGGTTTAGGGTTTGGGGTTTAGGGTTTAGGGTTTAGGGTATGGGGTTGTAGGGTTTAGGGTTTAGAGTTTGGGGTTTAGGGTTTAGGGTTTAGGGTTGTAGGGTGTAGGCGTGTAGGGTTTAGGGTTTGGGAATGTTTAGGATAAAGGTCTTAGGATACACGGTTTAGGTCTTAAGGTTCATCCAAACCCCTCCATGTTCATCCTCATCTCAGCCCTTACCTGCCTCACCAACATATCACGAACCTCTTCGTGCTTGCCACCATCATCACCCGCAACATCATGGGGAAGCCAAGCGCCACGCTACGAAGATCAACGCAATAACGGGTTGAGTCTTGACAACAAAACCAAGCTTCACTGCTCTCGCCTCAGACTCAGCATCTAGTTGTCACCGTGAGTCATCATCACCACCATCTTCACCATAACCATCATGATCATCACTTTCAATCGTTTCCACAGTCAACTCCGTGCCCATCATCAAACCACTCGATTGTCACCACGCCCACCCGCATCATTACCATGCTCATGTTCACCATCGCCAGCACCAGTACAATCATTCTCGGCATAGTTATCGACATCTTGTCTCCGGAAACCACCATCAGCAATATGCTTGTCATAGTCATCTCAATGACCCGCATCTTGACCATCAGCATCTAGCCATCGCCGTCACCATGCGTCATCCGAGGCCATTCCCCTTCCTGGATTCGTCGTGCTCGTAGCCATGTTGTTCAGCAATGAGCGCATGCAGCACAACTTCAGCCACAATGAACACCCTAAACCCTAAACACAAATGTTGCACACATCTTACACTTCCGTCTTGGGTGATCACCTGCCTACAGGGAGAGAACGCGGGTGGCACTCGTGAGAATACCTGTAGGAACTCCAACCACAAGAATAAGCACCCATGCAGTAAGGAGATCTAATTGATTCCAGAGAAGTATTAGTATGAGAGGAACGAAGTGCAACACATCACACAGGACCCAAAATACAAGCAGGTTAACAGAACTGCTCAACGAACTGCCTATCTGTATGAAATGTAATCGGCATGCTTGCTTTGCCTGCAGGTGCAAAACGCCTCGGTGCAAAAACATCATCCTGTCAGCATCGAAACACCATATACCCAAAACCGTTAAGGCCTAAAATCTCGCTAGCCCGGCCTGAAAACTCATAGAGTATAGCTCGTTTGCATCCATGTTGGTCCCTCGGAGAACTTGGCCAAAATTTCTCAGTACCGCCCAGGCAGGCACGGCGCGCAAGAAGCTGGGACTAGTGCCTAAGCAGGGTTTTCCGCAAACCGGCTAAAAGCACCCTAGTTATCGGTTGCGGTACAATCAAGACGTGGGCACAATAACCGACCGCAGACAGGAGTTTCAGGAAAACAGGCGGTGTCTCCTTCAAACCCTAACCCCCCAAGTACCTACTATATGGGGCCCTAGGGGCTCTAGTACCCTATATAGTAGGTATCCCCAAGGTGTTAGGGAAAAACCCGCAACCTACAGAACCCATCCTGCGCGACTGCTGAAGACCCAGGGTTTCGGCTTAGGTCTCACATACCTGGGGATCCAAAAACCCTACCCTTTTATGGGTTCTACCCTCGAACTAAGGCGTCATAACCTACTATTTTGTAGGGTTTATAGGGTCACAGACAATACTTACATACCTGGCACCCTCAACCCTAATGCAAGTGGTCAGGATTTACACACCTTGGAGTCTGGGTGCACTCCATGGCAGAGACAGCGCGGACCGCCAACTGCCTCTGCTCTTGCAGCTGCTTCTGCCCTCGGGTAACTTCAGGCTGTAACCTGGTCGCGGCAAAACTTAAAACTAGGTTGGTCCTGTAACGACTCTGCAAAGTACCCAAACACAAGATCCTCTTCAGCCCAATCAGGGAAACAAAAATTATCGCAAAGGCCTACGTGAGGTACCTAGAATAGACAAGCATCCAGCACAGGATAGCCTCAACCTTGATCGCAAAACCCTAAACCTAAACACCCTAACAGTCGGGGTTACCTGAACCCCCAAGAGTAGGTAAAGTAATGGCCCAAGACCTCTTAAAGGCTATTACAGGAACCGGAGTCCGAAAAAGCAGGGAAGCACAGTGCTGTGCTGACGGGAAGCGGGTCTGGTGGGCTTTCCGCCTCAAAGCTTGGAGAAACATCGTCGACGGTGCCGGCTTGTGGTGCGAGGGGCGGCGAATCATCGGCTGCCATGGCTCTCTGAAGGTGGCGATGCCTAAGGCAGATAGCCACTCTACAGCTCCTCAGATTTTGAGCAATCCGGCAGGGTGGCCTCTGTCCCTCAATCTCTTGGGATGTGTGGATGGGGCTTATAGGGTTGAGGGGATTTGGGGCTTCAGTAATCTATTGTCAGTGCGGCTACGCACAAAAAATATTCAAGTAATATGTTACCTTCTGCCATGGTATGTTCTGCAACCCTGCGCTATGATATGTTGTTATGTTATGACATGATGTGATATGTTATGCTCTGTTCTGTTCTGTTCTGTTCTGTTATGTTGTGTTGTGTTGTGTTGTATTGTTTTGTGTTAGGTTATGTTATGTCATGCTATGTTATGTTATGGTAGTTATGTTATGTTACCATTGCATTATGCTACAAAAAAGTCCAAACAGAATCGGTCGCCGATGGAAGACCTCAGGCTCGGCTCCCTGCGCGCTTGCAGCATCAACTCCTCCTTTTGAATTTGCCCGCTCACCTCAGGGTTTAGGGTTTAGGGCTTTTAGGGTTTAGGGTTTAGGGCTTTTAGGGTTTAGTGATTAGGGCTTTGAGGGTTTAGGGTTTAGGGATTGGGGTTTAGGGTTTAGGGTTGTTTTTTTTCAAAGTGCAATGACCTCTTTCTCTCATCCATGTGTGGCCCGGCGTTAGCAGGGCTGTTTAGGGTTTAGGGATTATGGTGGTTTCGGTTTTTTTCGGGATTAGGGGGACTAAGGGTTTAGGGTTGGGGGACAGACAGAGGGTTTAGGGTTTAGGGCCTAGGGTTTTAAGCTTTGGAAAATTAAATAAGGCTTAAGGAGGTGGTTGTGCGTGGCTTGTGGCTCTAGTCGGAGGCATTGTTTCTAAAGAGGGTCACGCAAACCTGGGTGCGTGAAGCATTGGCATTAGGCATACTGCTTGGGAATGAGTATCGTGCCATTCCGAGCTTTCAAAAAGATTGAACTTGACCGTATAAACCCTACAGCACCCAAACAAACCACAGTCTATAGCCAAAGCCAAAATCAAATGCCCTTAGACACCTGAACCTCAGCCTTACCAGCATAAAAAAAAAAGCTCCCTGGCAGGAGCCCTTAAACCCTGAACCCTTGAAGCCCCAACACCCAAACCCCAAAAGCCAACAACCCCTAATCCTAAACACCCTGACACCACAGGAAAAAACTCCAAAGCCGCCCAAGGCCCATCGAACCCGAAACATTCCGGTTTAGGAGGGTTTAGGGTTTAGGTTTTTGGGGTTTAGGGTTTGGGTTTAGGGCTTTTGGGGTTTAGGGTTTTGGGTCAGGGAATCCTCAAAACAGGGAAAAAAACCTACAACCAGCCCCTGCAGGCCTCTGCGACGATGGGTGTCCAGGCATTGGACAAGAACTCCGAGGCCTGCGAGCGCAGGACTTACGGTTTAGGGATTATAGGGCTCATTATAGGGCTTACGGTTTAGGGATTATAGGGCTTATAGGGTTTAGAGTTTATAGGGCTTAGGGTTTTTGGTGCAGGGCTTAGGGTCTAGAGTTTAGGATGTTTAGAGGTTTGATCTAGGGGCTTTTGTTTAGGGTTGAATTGAGTTTCGGAGTTAGGTTTCGGAAAAGAATATATCATCGAAAATCCGGCCCTCATTTCAGATCCGCCACGCCCTAAGGGTTTAGCCTAAACCGCAAGGGTTTAGCCCTAAACCTCGGGGTTTAGGCTTAAACCTCAGGGTTTAGGCCCCTAAATCTCAGGGTTTAGGCGTAAACCTCGGAGTTTAGGCCTAACCTCGAAGTTTCGGAGTAAGAGAGTGTTTAGGGGTTTGGGGGGTTTAGGGGTTTAGAGCTTAGAGGTTTCGGGTTTGGGTTTAGGGTTTCAGGGCTTTAGGGTTTAGGGGTTTAGGAGTTTGGTGGTTGAGGGACCCTGCGATTGTGCGGATTTCAACCCACTGCTTTCTGGCTCAGCCAGTTTCCTGCATGAACTAATCTAGAAACTCGAGAACTGTAGCCTCCCTAAACCTTAAGCGTAAACCCCAACATCCCTAAACTCCTAAGCCTATAAACTCTAAACCCCGCAAACCCGTAAACCCTAGGCCCTAAACACCTAAACCTATAAAACCCTAAACCCCTAAACCCCTATAGGCCCTAAACCCCTAACCCACGAACCCCGAGCCGAAAAGGAAGCTGACCAGGCTCGGAGTGGTTCGAGCCAGGCTTTCACGGGCACCAGGCTTAG